ATTTCAAGACATTAATCAGGATGAACATGAAAATAGCACAATTTATCACTATGTGCCAAATTAAATTAGATTACTTTCAATAACCTCAATAAAAGTTAATGTCTAGTAGAAGCAAAATTTCAATTTCTACCTAAAAGGGATACCTAGCATTTGTTTAAGCCTATTTTAAATTCATTGTTAAGCGTTAATTGTCTTTTCATTTAGTTAGTCAGTATTAAATATTATTTTGTTGAAAGCGTGCCTGTATTTTAAAGAATGATTTTTATTATAAAATAAGCTTAACGAATAAAATCTTTTTTTACGACTTTGTCTTAAAATTCGTAATATAATTCCTAATCAAAATTTCTGATTAAAATTTGTAGATTTTTAAAATGTTTATCTCAGAAACTTGTTTTGCACATTAACTTGTGTTGAAACTTGTGCTGCAAATAAGTTTGTTGAAACTATTCCAATTTCATTAACTTCACAAATTCAAATTTCTAAACAGTATTAAATGCCTACAAATTAAACTAACATAATTAATTAAAGATACATTAGGTACTGTATTGAACGAGGGATTTAAATTATTAAAACTATTTTTATTAATCAATGTCAATTACATTACAAATGGCGTTACAAATGGCAAACTCAAATTATTGGATATAATTAATCAGTCATGGAAAAGAGGTCGTATACCACTTGACTGGAAAAAGGCGATTGTCATCCCNAATAGGGAAAATATATGTTATATTTAAAGGATTTATGTACGAAACCGATAGCTAAATTCGTCTGCTTTTTATTTTGAAATATATACCAAGGAAACTGATGATTATTCGTCAACTATTGAAGCTCACAAGAGAATTCTTTTAAAGCATGTATTTTATTCACTTTTTGTTTTCCTGGCTCCATTATGCCAATTTGTGCCACCTGCTTTATCAACAATATTATAAACTACATCAATTATATAACTAATTGTCTTAAGACACGTAACTTTTTCATTAAATATTTTTCGAAAACATCATGAAGCTTATATATTTATTTTGAAAATAATCACTCTAACAATATTTGCAAACTTCAAACTTTATTCCATTTAAGAATTTATTAAATACATGAAGTTACTATATATAAAAACATATGTAATGGAACAAATTCATTTGATGGGGTAATTTTAAAATAGTTCATAATTTGTGTATTTATTAATAGTAGTTTAGATGCTTTCATATAAAGCTTTTAAGAAGGATTTAATGTTTTTCATTATTTTATGCCTCATAATTTCATAACAAAATAAAGTTAACGAATCTATTATGACTATTTCTAAGAAAGAACATTTTCTTTTTTGTAACTGGTAACAAACAACAACACATCGACTGAAAGGCACAATTAATTCTAATACTATTTTAATTTTTGCTTGAACATTATTCTAATACTATTTTAATTTTTGCATTGTTATATTCTGTGTGTAACCTTTTTCATGCTTATAAGCCAAGTAGGACGTTAACTAAAAATCTGTGAAAGTTAAACTAAAAATCTAAAATTCTCTGTATAAACCATGTATAAATTATTAAAAATACTAATTTGCTGCGTATTTTTCATTGCTTAAAACTACTTAATAGTAAACTAATTTAATGGTCAGTTCACTTTACTGCCAGAAATGGGCATTTAGCTATTATTTGTGGATAGAAGCATAAAGAATTATCAAATTAAAATACAAACTGCTGTTTTTATCATTAAAGATAAATTTTAATAATGTTTCAAATAAATGATAGAGAAAAAAAACTGCAGAAGGTTTGATTATGCATTTTTTTATTAAAAAAGGATATTAAGAAAGGAACTAGTTGAACTAGCAGAATTAATTAACAATTAGTTTTCACTTAAATTTTCAATGCAAATTCCATAACTTTAGCGGTTCAACAATACAAAAATTTTGCATCATCTAATTTAGATTAGACTGGATTATTTATTTTGACTTGGCTCATGATAGTTAAGGCACTTAACTCCAATTTTGGAGTATCGGAGCTTTATGTTCAATGGTGAATTGAAGCTTAGTCGGCATCAGATCACTGCTTATCAGTTAATTGGAAGCAATGGCAACCATATACACGTATTTATTAGGGAAAGGAAAACAATGAGTATGAACAAACAGTGCTAAAAACTATGTATGGCAAAAAAACAAATTTAAAAAGTATACGAGAAAGAAATTAGAAAAAAATGGTCACTAAGGAGCATCAAAATCAAAAGGTTTATGCTTATCAGAACACGATAAGTCTTCTATGAAGTTTCTGAATAATATAGATAAATCAGAAGGCAGTGTAAGGTTGGTTTTAATGTCAGCTACAACCTGTATCACCAAGGTTTATAAATCATTAGCAAATAAACCATGCATGCCTAAAACATTGTTAAATTTAACTAAGCTTGTTTAGAAGCTATGAAGTTCACATTAAGCTTGAACAAACAATCCTTTTATATCGAGATTGAATCTACCTTTACAAAACAAGGCTGGAAATACTTTCTAAAATCGAAAATGAATCATCATTCCTAAATTCGTCATCTTCATTCGTTCTCAAATCGAGGACAAATCCACTTTCTTAAGGTTCACTTTTGATTTTATGGTCATCACTGATACAAGATCAATATTTGAACAGACTTTTATATATTTTAAACACTTTAAAAATAAAAGTTGACCTAATCCTAACGTTTTCAACACAAACAAATCATTACTTTTAAGAGCCAGGACTGGCTAGAATGAAAGAAAATGCAAAACAAGGTTTACAATAAAAGCTAAGAAAGGAGAATTTTTTTGTAAAGTATTTTGCATGCTTTTTAGTCAATAGTTAAGGAAACAAGTTTGGCATACTAATATGTATACTAAAATTAAAAAATGCAATTAATCAACCTTTATATGCCAACCAAATAAAAATACAGTGTTAACCGCCAGGTTGTCTGCTATCAGGAGATATTTCAACGATAACATTTTAATAAAAAAAAATTACAATTTCTTCGGATAAATGATAAAATAATACATGATAATGTATATTCGGTTCAGTTATATACTATTTTCCCATTTTAGAAATAATAAAATTTTTCAAACACATGTTAGGATATTTAAAATCTACATTAATATAAAAAGAAACATTTACTTCTACGTGTAACGTAGCCTTTCACTTCTTAAAGTTCCACCAATGATATATATCATGCCATGCATCATGATGGCTTATGAAACATGTTTCATATCCTTTAATACTTCAAGGCATCATAGAATGTTCGAAAAGCGAAGAAAAATGATAAAATTCTTGGATTTTATTCCTTTCGAAATAACGACATGGTATTTTGCTGAAACTCATAAATCCCAGTTGGCGAAGGCATCGTTACTGTTAGTTCGGGGGGGGATGTGAAAGATATTTCCTCAAGAATATTATTATTATTATTTTTGTAATAATATATTTAGAACATATTTTAGCTGTATAAACTATATATTTAACTATTTCTAGAAAAACTGTTTTCTTTAACAAAATTAAGTATTATTAAGTATTTGATACATATTTGGAAATGTTAAGATTTTGCAGTAATTCTATTCAGTTATTTTGCCTTCATTTATTTGCTGTAAAATAATGTTATCCGATATTTGCTTTTATAATATCTAGTAAGAGCTGTTAGGTGTGAATTACTTACATAATATTTTAAATTTAAATATCGAGATGATTTTATTAAACGTTCAATATCAATTTTATGAGGACGTGAAAAGTTTCACTCCTGTTCAATTTGTTCAATTGAAAATAATGTATCAAGAAGTGTTTACTTTTATAAATAATTTTCGAAATTACTTAGTTGATTACCGTGTATAAATGAGATTTGAAACAGTTATAGCAATTGACATTATATGATTGAAAACGAATTCGTATAGGAAAGACTGTGTTAAATGTTAAAAAAACAAAAAAAACAAAAAAAGCAGCAAACATTATCAAATGAAAAACAACTGAGTTATACATTCTTTTGAGTTTATTAAGAGAGTTTGCATCGCAATACGCATTAAATATTGAATATTTTATAGAAAATGAGAATTACTGAAATTAAATTCTAGCTTTAAAAAAACGATTTGAAAACTACTCATCTATATTAGAGAAAAAGATATTTTATCTTAAAAATATTTTTTAACAAACTCCGTACTTCTACTTTAGAAATTAGTTTTTAATCCTATATATTGATAATATACTTTACTTTTAATAAAAAAAGGTACATATGCAGTACAGTTATTTATATAAAAAATAATAAAATTAAAGCAAGATGCAATTAAACTAATGCATGAAACCATTTCCTAATCCTTCCTAAAGTTCATTTAATAATTAATTAGCATAAAAAATGTGTTATGCACTTATATATAGATTTCTATAAATAGCGCAGATAATAAATTAGAAAGCGTAAAATTTCACATGAGTTATTTTCAATTTAAAATAGTCAGATTTTTTAATTAATGTATTTATAAAAATTTTTAAATTTCAAACATTTAATTTTTCAATTGATACTACACAAAATACACAAAATACACAAAAGTGTATTTTATTGCCAAAATTACGAAGGAATATTTTTAAAAGATAAAGATAAAAATACACAAGAGCAAATTCGTATTTAGGCATTTAATTGAATCATAAAGTTCTAAATATATTTATTTCAAAAATAAAAAGTGATTCGAACAAACATTAAACATTTATTTTCCAATTAAATCTTAGAAACATGACTTAAAATTCTATGCATAACAGACTTGAATTTCAGTTCAAATTTCTAGTAAATAAAAAATCGATATATATTTTTTTTTAATTGAAAATTATTGTATTCTCTTCTGTAATCACTTCATGGTTTTTTATTTTAATTAAATCATTTCAATTCAGTTATCTAATAGTAATTATAATTTTATTTTTAAGTTATTTTAAAATTAGCTTTTGAAAGGTAATAATGAGTGTTTCAGTTCATGCAAAAATAAAGAAAAATATTTTGCATTAGTACAGGATGGAAAAAAATTAACATACCTCACATGTTTTGCATAACCTATGTATTACTTCACGTTTCACTTAAACGTTTCAGGAAGAGGAAAAATTCAAGCTGAGTAAAAATATAAGTTCATAAAGTTAGTATATAAGTTCATAAGTAAATATAAGTTCAAGATGATTAAAAGTTCATAAAAATCCATCAAACCTAAATTCGTGATATTTTACTTAGAGTCAAAACCTTTCTGTTACAAAGCACAATATTTTCTCAATTTCTATTTATTTATTTTCTGAAAACGTTTTTCCTACAAAGATTCAAAAAAGTTATAAATACTGGGCCGCGAGTCCTGTATACAAAATGTTGTCATTGCAAATATGTAAACATAAAATTCATCGTATAAAAAATTATTCTACGTTGGGCCCTGGCTGCTTGGCTGGTAAGGAGTTGGGTTCATGTCGAAGATGTCGTGAGTTCGATCCTCACCGGTCAAGGACTTCTCGCGTTGTAAATGGTGACTGGTTCACCTTAAATCTGTCAGGTCACAAGGTTCTACATGATCCCATAACAATTCAATGCCTGGGGATGCTTAATTGGAGATTTATAGTTTACCGATTCAGGTTAAACGGTCCCTGATCTGTGGATGAATAAATGGATAGATAAATGGGTCCACCCTATAAACGGGCTGTGACGTGCGTGTGGCTGAAGTCGCATTTTTGACCATGGATGGAGCCACTTAAAGACAAGAAATGTACCCTCTACCTAAAATTCGCCTGGTATCGACAAGCAGCCTTGCTGATGTTTAGCAAGTAGCATTAGAAACAACAACATTATTCTATGTGTATATTACATGCAATATGTTTACATTTTCTTCGAGACATTGTTCATAATTCTAGGAGGTTCCGCCTCCTACTGGACAGCTCATTTCACTCGCCAGTCCTCTTTGTGACTTCTCAATCATTTTTGTGTTTTTCATCTTAAAATTTGATATTTCCAAAAATATATACTGTTTATAAAATATTTAATTATTAAAATTACATGTAAAAATATTTTGTTAATACGTTCATCATAGCAAGATGAACAATTACTAGGATTGAAAAATAATAACTGTACTTGAAATAGCCTTATAGAAAATTAAAAGAAAATCTAGTAAATATTTCAGTTACATTTTTATTTATTTTTCAAAAAATAGCAAAATTAGTACGATCACGAACTGGTTTAAATCAATTTGTTTTTATTGTTAATAACACCCCATTGTATCATATAAACTGTTTTTGAACCAAGAATTTTTAAATAAATCTTGCATAAAAAAACATTATAAAATTAAAAGGCGAATATAAGAATAAATAATTTTAGACAAACTGGAAAAGTAGTAAATAAAATAAAGACATATTTATTTTGCCTTTAAGATTACAGATGCATATTAAATTAAACCATTATATTATATTAAGTTATAATCTTATCTATATCTTAGTTATAATCTTATCTAGTTATTTATAGTTTATTATCTTAGTTATAATTTTATCTAGGTTTTTTTAATATTTTAATCATAAAATTCAGATTTATTTTGCTAAAAATATTTTTACAGCAAATTTAATTTCATTTTAGAATTAAAACAATAAAAGTATTGAAAAACCAGATCAACGGCACTTAGAAAAAGTTTAAATTTTGTTTGAACATTTTAAAACTGATAGAAAATGTTTTAATCACTAATGATATTACATTAACTATTCATTTAGCAAAAAAAATATTTCTTATAGAACTAGTTCATGTTTTTAAAAAGACTTAAGGGTAATTTGTTAATCTAAAAAAACTGAAAATTAATTATCTTTTATACTATTTTCTCTAATAATAGTGAGGTTCTTAGGCTATTTTATCAGCACCTATTTTTTTAAATTATTTACTTGTTTTGCCTTTAGCAAATTTCGGGAAACAAAAGCTATTTGGATGCGTAAATATCTTAAAAGACCGTTTGTTCATTGTAAATGTTCAACCAATTTTCTATTTTTCATATTCTAAAACATTATCCTAAATATAAAGCTCATTAAGGAGTCCATACTGACGAAAGTTTTTATTTTCTTCTACATGGTTTACTTCTTTTTATCGCTTAATTTTTTTATGGGGGATCATTAAAGAGAAGATTTATATTTCTTGCTTAAGATTTGAAGAAATTTAATATTATAAACAGAACCCTGAAGGAACGGAAAATTTTCCTTTTTCGCACCATAGAATGCAGTTTTATCATAAATAAATGTTTTTCAAAATTTTTCGCATCGCATTTATAAAAAATTTATGTTGTGATTAAATAAAAATAAAGTTTCATTTCAAATGCTTAGGAAATTATTTTTTATGAATGCTTCAAAATATGTTGTCGGCTTTTGTTTAATAATAATAATAATAACAATAATAACGGTTTCTCTTTCAATACACTTATAAAAAAACTACATAAAAAACGCAGTACGTGGGCTTAAATTGAATGTGAATATGCAAAAAAAAAAAAAACAAGCACAATATATATTTTTTCCTGAGATCATTAAAACATATTCTATTGAATGATATTAAGTCAGGCATTTTCGACTACATCACCATAAATACATCACTTTAGTTTCATCACTACAATAATAGTGGGAGACAAATTTCTTTTTACAGTTATACAAATATTTCAAATAAGAATATTTCAAATAGGAATATTTCAAATAAGAATATTTCAAATAAGAATATTTCAAATAAAAATATTTCAAATAAAAATATTTCAAATAAAAATATTTCAAATAAGAATATCCAAATAAGAATATTTCAAATCAGTATATTTCAAATAAAGAAATTTCAAATAAGGAAATTTCAAATAGGAAAACTTGAAATACGAAATGACTTTGACTTCGAAAGCGAAAGATTTTTTTAAATGTCATTTTTTGTCGAAATGCAGAAATTTTACAACGTTATATGCAACAGGGTCAGGAATTGTTGCTACATATATTCCTAAGAGTTAAGGCACATCATCAGGATTAAAATTATATAGCAACCCATCCCCGAAACATCGTTGTACGCCGATAGAGATGTTTCCCCTATTGTGATCTGTTCAGAAGCACACGAAAAAGCATTTTGTAATAAGGAAGCACATCTAGTTGTACATGGTGATATTTATAGGCATGGGTACCGATATAATTTTAATCCCAATGATGTGCCCCATTTCTCCTGGTTGTTTGTCGCAACATTTTTATGACCCATTTCATATACGTTTTCAGACTTGTACATTTTCAATAAAAAAATAGACTGAAAATAACATTAAGAAAAACTGAGACATAAGGAGATAAGCAGCTGATTACAGATTTTAAATCAGCCACGCGGGCAAGCCTGCTTAGTGAAACCGAGCAAATTTAAGGCAGACTGTGCGTTTCTTGTTTTACAGTGGCGCCATCTATGGTCAAGAATTCAACTTCTGCCACACCATACGTCGCACCCATTTATAGGGCGGACCTATTCATACATTCATTCATTCATCCACAGATCGTAATTTTGACCTGAATCAGAGAACGTTCGATCTCCAATCCAGTATCCCCAGAGGTATTGCTTTGTTATGGGAACATGGAGGACTTTGGCTTCAGATTTACGTGCATCAGTCAATTTACTACACGGGAAGACTTCGGCCGGCGGCGGGGTTCGAAATCTAACCTCGTGTAACAGAAAACAAATAATTGTTCCAAAGTGTGATCTTATTGTTGGATAAAATTATTGCGAAACTTATTTTGACTCAAATGTTTTACATGAAGTAATCTTTTACAGCTTATTGAGAATAACGCGAAAAAAAACATTTTGAAAGGAGAAAAATAATTTACGAGTTTTTTAGTCTGTCTAGTTTAATAAATATTGTAAGCTATGGTACGCTATAAAAATTTCCTTTCTTCCTGCTGAAAAAAATCCAATTAATGGAAGTATTCAAATGTAAGAATCGAGACTAGCTACTATTACTTTGTTTATTTCTTATTTTCATTAAAAAAAATACAATGACATAAAAAATAAATTTTAGTATAACATGTATCGATTTAAATCTATTCAAAAACACTCACTTTTTAAATTTAAAAGTATCAAAAGAAACCGATAGTGGTGATCTATATCACGGTTAAAAAACTTTACAACCATTTTTTGCGAAAAAAAAATCTATGCTTCTTAGGACTTATTCAAATTCAAAATTTTTAAAATGCATCGTTTGAAGCAGAAAAAAAAATTCTTAGAACTGCAAGACTTATTTAGTTTTTGTATAACCGTGAATTTAATTTTTATACATTCTTAGAATTTATTCAAACAAGAAATTTAAAAAAAAACATTGTTTGTCACAGATAAAAAATTTATTAATTGGGATTGATAGATTTATTTAGTTTTTATAAAATCATTAAAGTAGTTTTTTAAAACGAATGCAGTTTCTTTTTGCAGATTTTCTTGCAAAATAATTCATTAATACTTTTTAGAATTGCGTCGAAAAAAATGCATAGAAAACTTAATCAATAATAAGTCACAAAACTGTATTTTTTACTCGCTTCTAATACAAATTTGTTTTTCATCTTCACTGAATATTCAGTTTTCATCTGAAAAGCAAGTGTCTGTAGGATTTGTCTTACTCAGTAAAAATGAATACATTTTTTTTAACTCAATGTATTCATTCATTTTCTGAGTACTCTTGATCTTAAATTTAAATGAACTTGTTCGCAAAAAATTCTATTTTCTTAATATAAAACAAAAAAGCAAAGATCAGATATGCAAATACGATTTTTTTTAATTAAAAAGCTGAAGAAAACTGAATGATGATATTGTTTTATTTCTTCATAAATCAAACAATCCTTCATAATTGATTTACTAATGATAAAAGCTTGTTTTTTTTTAACTTTTGATTTCCTTTAGAAAATGTATTTATGGTAGTTGAACAGATTCAATTACTAAAGCACTTTAAGTTAGTGGTACGCAATAGCCTCCAGAAAGAAATTAGAAGTAAAGGTAAGACAAGTATGCAATTTCAAAAACAACTCTTTTTACATATCTTGACTGAAAACAACATGATGAGCTGGTGTTATGAAAGGGCAGAAATAAACAACCGGTAGCATTTTATTAGTAGTAAAAAATGCAT